TAATACTAGTCACATTACATCATTTCATTCGGTTGTTCACAAGATCAATGTGGTGAATTAAGGAAAAAGTCAAGATCAAAACAGGGTTAAGAGCAGTCGAGACCAGACTAAACTTGATCTACATCTGTCATGTGCACTGAATGTGTTGTAACTGTAAATGTTGTTCATTCTGTACACATCTGTTGCACTTCTGTCCATCCTGGGAGAGGGGTCCCTCCTCTGTTGCTCTCCCTAAGGTCTCTCCCTCTTTTCTTCCCGTTAAAGGGTTTTTGGGGGAGTTGTTCCTGTTCTGATGTGAGGGTCCTGGGACAGAGGATGTGTACAGATTGTAAAGCCCTCTGAGGCAAATTTGTGATTCGTGATTTTGGGCTATACAAAAATAAATTGAATTGAATTGAACCTGTCCCTACTGTTTTCAACAACTCCACAGAAGACACCTGGACAGCTCTGAGGCAGACCGTCAGATTTCACTCTGACGACGTAGCATGGCGCTAATTTCTTATAAAGATATTTCATTTTATTTCATTCGACTGTGGTCAGGCTTCCTGGGGGGCTCCCAACCCATCTTAGTTATGCTGGGATGTGAACTTCTGTTGACGTGAAGGTCTATCGCAATAAATAGGTTAATACATGTTTTTCGCCACACTTGCAGCATGGTAATGTGGATTGATCCACCTCTTTGGTGCAACCGGAAATATCTTAACAACTACTGAACAACATCTTCCCCCCACAGGTAAACACTGTTAGCTCTGTCAGCACTGTTGCTGCTGTTTACACTGTTAGCGCTGCTAGCTGCTAGCCACAGGCTCAGCCGGATCCACGTTGAGAGCCGTGTGGAGGCCACAGATATATGCTCCGAATGTACCTCCTTCAACTGAGATGGTGAACATGTTAAACATTATGATCAGCTTTTCATTAGAATGTCAGCAATGTGATTGTGAGCATGTTAGCATGCTAATGTTAGCATTTAGCACACAAGCACCGCCGTGCCAACGCACATCTTCACAGAGCCGTTAGCATGACTGTAATAATTTCCTGTATGCAAGGAAATGTTGTACTAATACCTTCATTTTCCAGTTTAAACGTGTACTCTTTTTTTTTTTTCTTCCAGTGCTTGTAAGAAAAACAACACATATGCCAGATTTGTAGTTTAAAATAATTGTCAACATGATAACACTAGCTATGATATTATAATTGAACAAAACAGTGCTCAGTGGATTCCATAATGTGCTATAATGCAACTTTCCAGAACACTGCAATGCATGGATAATCTCTTACATGATATTAAATTACATAGATGGGAAAATGTGGACAGGTTGATATTCTCTCTGCTTGTCTGCAGCATCCGCAGACTGATCAATACAGCAATTCCCACTGAAATTACCTGATTACTGGAAAACTCACATTTGCATACAGCGGGTGAGTTATCAGATTTAACGCCTTACCCTTACATCTTATTTCTGACATCTGACCAACGTGTTCTCACTCCCAACTCATCAAATACCGATGCTTGATCAGTGACCCTATCAACTTCAAACAAGCTCTATATGCCTCTAGCGTCGGTTTTGAACGAGGCAGGGAGGGTGTGTCAGTTCCTGCTTTTCAAAATAAACCTCCGTCTTCCCAGAAGGTTAGGTTTAGGCAGCTAAACCGCTTATTTGGGTTGAGGAAAAGATCGTGAAATACTTATTTAGGTTTCGGAAAATATTGTCGTTTGGGTTAAAATATCTGCGGAACTGCCATCAGCTAGGTACGCAAGTTACATGATAAAAATATGTGTTGACTTCTGGTCATACACAGGTAACGAACAGCAGGTTCCTATAAGATCGCTGGTTGTCGGGCCCATCCACCTCACTCCTGCCCTGTGTGGGCTTTTGCGGTCTTCATACGTTCTTCCTCTTCTTCCTCGTTCATGATTGAGTAGATAAAATACTAAATAATGTTGTGGGATATCAACTAATTACGCAGCATTATTTTTTGTCGGTATAGCTACGAATGCTGGATGAGGCCGGCCCGGTGTGGTTGACGTTAACTTGACGTTAACGACTCAAGTGACTGACGTTGCAAAACAACTCGGCGTTGAGTTCTAGTTTCAAACGGGACACGATTAGTAGCTAATCTTTTAGTAAAAAAATAAAAGTTGCCTTCTTGCCTTACATTTGTTCCACATGATAGAAAACCTTCCAATCACTAGCTACTCCACCGTATGCAGATGGGGCCCTGTTTATTTTTTTTGCGTCACTGCCAATCAAACAGCCGCCACTGCTGCCTTGAAGCCTCTTGGAGTTTAAGTTTAAGTAATGTGAGACCACATATTGAGGTTTTCCTAATGTCCATTTATGTCTGAATTTTACAAATATGCTTCTACCCTAGCTTTCTCTACTGTACATAAACTGACCTGTTTAACTCATTCTCCATTTCTGTTTTACTTTCACTTATGATTGAATTACTTGGATAAAAAAAGACGTCCCACGAGTAAAGATTATTCCTCTCATTCTGGCTCGCAGCTGTCACAGCGACACTTTACATCTCTGACGTCTTTGTCATGCAAATGCATGCATGTAAAACCCCATTAGAAACCCTATATATAGTATATATAGTATAAACCTGTACATGGTTAAGGAATACCTCATCTCTTACAGAAATCTCTCACTCCTATTACAGACATTGAACATTTTAGAAATCACGTCGCTGCAGAAAACCAACAGCAACCTGGTTACTTAAGCATGTATGTCTTGAATATTATTTCCGGCATGGATATTGTTAACTGTTATTTTAGTTTCATAGGAACCAGACAAGGAGTTTGCACCACTAGTTGCAACCAGTAATATTCCTGTGGTTTCAAGTTGTAGAAATCTATAACAGACAAAAAATAAATAGAAAATACTCTCTCTGCATGTCTCGAGAGAACACTCTGTACACTGCAGCCAGATTTAGGATTGGTCCGCGCAGTGGCAGGGAGAAATATTTAGCTTTTCAATACATCTGTTCAGCCCGCAGCTCTGATGATACTCTCTGCCAGCCTTCTCCAGCAGCGCTGAGCCTCTTTCTGTGTGCTTCAGTAAAATCACCACATCAGGAGGGAGAGCAACACAGCAGGACGAGGAGAGAGATAAGATGAGGAAAACAGAGTGTGCTGACTGAGAGGGGGAGGGGGGGATCTGTGATCGAGGTGAGACAAAAGAAAAGGCCGACGACGTTGGCGGCGATAATTGTTATTTAACAGAAAAGGGGTAATTAATGGAGAATGTTGAATTAATCATGCAGTTGCTGCCAGGAAATCAAGAACAGAGTCAAACAGACAGATGGTAGGAAGGTGATAAAGCTGTTGAATGTTCCAGCTGAGAAGCTCTGATTTCACAGGCGTGTTGACATCCAGAGGAGAGTGGATCATGATGGTGAGACAGTGACGTAATGTGAAATCATTCAGAGCCGAGTTCAGTCCAAAATAGCACCAAATGAAGAATTGAAAACCACAAAAATGCCAAAAGTTTGGGCCTTTGAGCTAAAATTAAAGGTTTCGTCTCGCTTTTAAAATTCATTCTCCAAATGTGTCGTGCTTAAATATCCAAATACGCACTCTTAATGACCTCATATGGGTTCAGTTTAAAGGAACAGTTCAACATTTGAGAACTACGTATGCTTTCTTTCATGCCGTTTATTAGCGCGAGCAGCATGTCTCAGGCATCCCACACTAGTCTCTGTAAAATTGGCAACATTATTTTTGCTTTAATTTATCATTATGAAGTAAATGTTGAGTGCACAATGTAATGGCTATAGAACAATTACATCATGGCATCTGCGTTTAGATTGGGTCCCTTAAAACCTTTTCCAGTGTTCTCTTTGTGCAGTAGTCGATACACGGCGATACAGAATATTCTCTCGTAAAGTTGGCGACTGTGGCTAAGTGCAGGGCCGTCTTTCAATCAGAGGGGCGGCGGTTCAATCCCGGCTCCGGCTCTGCTAGTTGCATGTCGATGTGTCCTTGAGCAAGACACTTAACCCCAAAATTGCTCCTGTAGTTGTGCCTATGGTATAGAAATGTGATGGACTCTGAATTGTAAGTCGTTTTGGATAAAAGTGTCTGCTAATTGACTGTAATGTAATGTATTCTTTTCATCCCAAATGAATTGTGCCATGAATTACACAAATGATGTTTTTAATCTTAAAAGTTGTTATTTGTGCTTGTTTCTACTCTTTATGTAACACTATATAGAGCTGTGTGGGAGGATAGATGTGCACCAAGATCTTACTGCCTTTTAAGAAACATTTCCTCACACTTAGTTCTATTTATTCGGCCAATGCATCTTCTCTTCTGTTTGTTTGACCCCACAAAGCTACAGTAAATGCTGAATAGCAATCATAAATGCGAGCGACACAAGCGTTTTCTTTGTAAACACTACAGTAAGCAGCGACCCAGAGGGCAGTCACATCCACAGCCGTAACATCCCGGCCGGATCCACACTAACACTGGCTCCATTCACCACCCGAGGCCTGATCTTATATTCCCTCTGCAGCTAGTGTTCCCTTATTGATTCCCACTCTGACATGCAGTCTGCATCTCGAGCATCTTGTCTCGCATCTTGTCTCGTACGAGAGAGCCTGATCAATACAGAATGCATTGTCTCGAGCATCCCCAGGAACCGCCTCATGCATGTGTGGAGAGAGAGAGAGAGAGAGAGAGAGGACAAAGGAGACGCAGAGAAGAAAAAGGACGTGCTGTTGTCGAACTCCGACTGAATCTGCTGTCGCACAGCTGCAGACTGGCTGCATGGGACCAGACATTAACGATAAGATGATGAGGCAGGTGGCAACACATTAAATCCCTCCAGCTAGACTCTGATACCGTCAGAACACATCGGAGCTGGCAGTTATTGCCACCAAGCTAATAAATAAATGAAAAGAAGATAACCCCTCATGGACACGTTGCACCCAAATAAGTTGTACATGCTGCAAAATACAGTAACTGCCACAAGATAAGTTTCTAAACTCAGACTGACCTTTGACCTGTGAAGAAAACTGCGCGGTGTGTCTGGTCTCAAACAGCTGCAGCTCTTTGTTCAGGTCACAAACAGTCAGATCAACGTTCCAGGAACGCAAACCTGTTAAACAATAAACAGCATGAATATGAATGGAGGAAGATGGTGTATATTATGCACAACATTTCGACTTACGTTAAAAGTAAAGAATCTTTGTAATTGGTTAAAAATTGTACAATAATTAAAGGGGACATATCATGCTCATTTTCCAGTATCATACTTGTACTTTGGGTTTCTAATGTTTACATGCTTTAATGTTCAAACAACACTTTATTTCTCTCGTACTGTCTCTCTGAATAAACGTGGATTCAATCTCTGTGTGAATCGCTCTTTTTTAGCGCCTGTCTCTTTAAGAGTGTCTGTACCCAAAAAGCCCATCTGCTCTGATTGGCTTGTTAGAAACATATGTTGCCCATAAAAGACTGCTGGGTCATCTTATTTCACATATGGGTTGGTAGGCCTGCCAGATACCCAAATGTATGTGCACAAGCTGTGAAAAAGTGAGTTTTTTAAATAATATGTCAGACATATTTAATGCCACATTGTCCTATGTATAGAGAGTAAAGGGCATTATTAATGACAGTCCAAACTATAGTTCCATACAACAGCTTCCGGTGTAAAATGGCTCTAAAGTTCAGTTTGAGTGAAATAACTTTTAGATCTCTCCTGAATAGAAATGGTATAAAGGTTTTCAGTCTGTAACCCAATCACTGACTGCACTATTTGGAGAAATTGTTATTTCTGAATGACTTTCTTCGGATTTGTCCAAAAACAATTACATTTTCCAATATTCAAAGATACGTTAGGGAATTATTATTTTTTTTCAGCATGTGAAGTATTGTGTCATTTTTTAACTACAGAGGTGGGAAATACATTCTACGTTCTGTACTCTACATTTTAAGTACTTGTACTTAACTTGAGTACTATTACTACATTTCATAGGCAAATATTGCAATATTCACTCCCCCACATGCATTTGACAGCTTTACTTTTCAGATGTTAACATATGATGAGTTTATGAAATATGATGCAGCGCTTTACTATTAAACTAACATGCAGTGTATAAAGTACCAATAACTGGTTCTACGTTGACAAACACTGAAATGCTGCTTACATGTAATAATCGGTACGATATACAATAAATATTTAATATAAAACTGAAAAGAGACATTCTGCATCATTTTTACTTTTTTTACAATGAGCTGCTCCTGTACTTTTACTTCAGTAACATTTTGAAATCATGACTTTGACCTTTTCTGGAGTACGTCTTAGACTATGATATTTGTACTTTTACTTCAATAAACCACGAGAATACTTCATCAACTAGTTTCTATTAAGAAACTGACAACAATATGGGACTTTCGAGGATTGTATCCATCACGATTTACGAATATTTAATGACTTTTCTGCACCAAACTCTAAATTTACAGATTTTCATAGACAGTTTGTATACATTTAACATTTAAGTTGAGTCTAAGGACCGAACGCCCAGATGTTTTCTAGCTGCAGTGACACCGCCCCGCTTTGTTGTGCCAGTTCTCTCCTGCAGCACCAGGTATCCTCTGCTGTCTCACCTTCTGTGATCTGTTTCCTGGCGGCGTCGAGGTGATGGCTGGTGGAAATCTCTCCGATCACGATCAGCATGCGGTGGTTTCTGTGCTGGAACGCGGAGCGGTGCTGTCCATGGTGCTGAACGCTCTCCTCCTCCGATGAGGCTGCTGCTGCTGCTGTGATGGGGATTTCCATGGTAACGGTGCCACTAGCCGAGAGCTTTTCCATCTCCATGACAACTGCATCTGGAGAGCGAGCACCATGGCGGTGCAGGATGAGCTGGGCGGACCGGTTGGGGCGTGGCTGTCTGGGTGGTGTGTTCTCTGATTGGAGCGCAGGTTATGTGGCTATTTGACGTCACAGCATCATCATTGGACGAAAAGGAAAAGAAGGGACCGGAGCATTTATGTTGATCATATATTTCCTATATGACACTGAAGATGAGGAAGATGAACATTTCCTTTACACCAGAAACTATAGGAAAAAGACAATGTTTGGAAATACCCAAAGGTCACCGCTCCAATGTGTGACAGCATGCATTGAACTATAGTGAGGGCTTACAGTAAATAACATTCTTCAGACGTGATCATTTGGGGTTATTGAGTGTAATCGATGCCACTTACAGCATATGTCAAGTTGTTCTTATTTCTTTTATTAAACTCCAGACAAAAGGGGGCTGAAAATAAGACACAAAGGTTCTATTTATATCAGTGTCACTGCAAGTACCAGGCAGATGTGCTTTGGTTACTAAAACTGACACCTCGTTTGTTCCCATCGTGAGCAAAAACAAGGCTTCGCCTGTGCGGAGGGTAACACTGACAACAAAGACTCACACTTTCAGGCTTCATAAGACATGTGAATGAGCTCATTCTGCAACAAGACAACACATTGAACGGTGTTTGAAAATGATCAGCATTATGACAGTATTTAACGGAAATGTTTGGTTATATTCTCCATCTTGTAGTCATCAAATCCCATTAAAAGTTCGGCAATAAATCGATGCAACTGACTAATATAATTAGTATTATCTGTAGTATCTGTGTAGTAAAACTTTGATAAAACTCCATGTTTTTGCCTGTACTGTCTCCCTGTATACAGAGAGGTGTTTCTGTTATTTGGCATTGCCTCATTGATATAAATGGGGAGTAATAGAACATAATAGAGACATCTAGCTGAAACAGGGTTGTCTGTGCATCTGCATGCAGCAAAATCATCTGCCTCTCAGCTCAAGGACAGCAAACTCTCAAGGGGGGAAAAGGGACTGAACACTGATTGATATGCAGCTATTAATTGTGCAAACACACAAATGTGTCAACACTACTGTGTCTCCATCACAGTCAGATTCCCTTGTCTGAAGTGTGTTTTTTGAATAGGTTACAGATGTCTGAAATAAGGTCTGTGGTTAACACAAGAGATTTGTTCTCTGATATAAAAGGTGAATTTAGAAGCATCTACGTGAAGATTATCTTGATGAACAAAATGTGTGAAATCATAAACGTTTGCTTGACACATTATTTTCTGCAATAATCCAAAATCCAATGGAAGAATCTCATTGGATTATGCGGTTTTAAAGCCTCAAGTTCGGAATTTTGTCTGTCGCCATCTTGATTTTCTTGCAACCAGAGGGGGTTAAAGGGTTAAACCTGCACGATGTAAACACGGACAACTCCCAGACCGGACAGCGCCACGGTAGCAGCCTGTCAATCACAGTAGCCCCGCCCTAAAGCATCCCCTGCTTTATGGTCTGTTTGACTCTAAATCAGGGGTGTCAAACTCATTTTCACTCCGGGCCACATCAGTGTCATGGTCGCCCCCAAAGGGCGTAAATGTAAGACTGTATAACTGTAACTACTCCCTAACATATTGGTAAATAACTGTCTCTGCATTTGATTATTGTTTATTCAAGTGTTAAAATATTTTACATGCAGTTATATAAATGAAAAATGATATTTAAACACATTTCTGTTATTATAACTTAAATCATTTTAATTTAGGGTTAAGAAACTGACATTACTCTATCAAAGATCAAACTGTTAAAGAAAATAACAAAGACAAATATCATCAAACACAAGTTATGACATTAACTTTGTTCAAAGCTATTTTTGTCACCTCTCTGCATCACTAATGTCCCCGTCGTCCCGTGCATGGCAGCTACATCCAAGAGCTCCTCACTGACAGTCAGGTCTTATAAACACTGATAGATGCGCTGTGTCCGTGTTGTCTGTGCTTTCATCAACAGCTAATGAAGAAGACGAGTACCTGCTCGTCTCTTAGCTAGCTGTGTTGTTAGATTGCTGCTAGTTCATGAACTCGGTCTGCGATGGTGTTTCTTCACAAACTGGTCGGAGCTCACCTGCTCACAGACCTTTAGCGTGCACTGGGCTGGAGCTTCTGTAGATATATTCTGCTGTGATTGCACTCTGCCTTTTAATTCTTGGACAATTTGGTGTTTTTCTTGGAGGCTAAATTTAGCTCCGTGTTTGGTGTCAAAATGTTAATTTCTTTTCCAAAATTAAAATTTATTTTTTTTTTTTTTTTTTGCTGGCGGATTCGCGGGCCACATTAAATGACGTGGCGGGCCGGATTCGGCCCGCGGGCCTTGAGTTTGACACGTGTGCTCTAAATGGACCATAATGTACTAAATGAACATCATGCTGTATTGAAGAAGACTTGAAACTAGAGATTGAGACCATAAACTCATGTTTACAATGTTTACTAAGGTAATAAATCAAGAGAGAAGTAGAGTCATTTTCTCATAGACTTCTATACAACCAGAGGAGTCGCCCCCTGGTGGACACTAGCGAGAATGCAGGTTGCTATCTGGTCTTTCTTCATATTAGACTGCAAATGTTTTTCCTTCGTGTTTCCTAATAAACTGACAACTGGGTGTGTATGTGATTAGTTTAAAAAATATTGCTGTCATAGCTGGATCTCATTTTAATGTCAAGCCAGATGTTATGTGATTTAAATCTGTTGCAACATTTATAATTCGTATTATTCTATAATCCTCCTCTGTTCATATCAACGCTGGTTTCTCTACAGCCGCTGGAGCTGGAAGACAGTGACTCCTCCTGTGGTGGTGATGGAGTTTCATTTGGATCTCTTCTCTGTGTGTAAATCTCTCCTCAGGAGGATATGAGTTACAGGGAGTGAGTCAGCACTCCAGTCTCACGCACTCCAGAGTGTCTACTGGCCTCTGCTGGGAGGAGAGGGAGCTACAAGAGCACTGCTTTTTATTCCTAATTAATCCCCCAGTGGTTTGCAACCAAAGAACAAAATGACTGATAAATAATTTCAGTCATTCAAACAGTGAAAAATCAAGTTTCTTTAGAAATGCTGAAGAAATGGATTAAGTATAATCGTTTTTTAAAAATATATATATTTACTTATATGAAGAGAGAATATGATACAAAGACTAAGAAAATGAGGTTAAGAAAATCATGAAAAGTGACAATTTGAAAAACAAAAACAGATTAATGCATTATATATTTCACTTGAATATCTTTGTGCATAGTGTGTGTTAACATGTGCTGATGTTTGACAGCCTAAGTAGAAAATAAAATAACTTTAACTGAAGTATCACAGAAACTTTTTCTTTTCTTTTATTAAGTCTTGAATTTTACAAACTGCATGTTTACTTTCAAAGCAAGAGCACATGATAACAAAATACGTTTTTTACTTCCTGTCCGTCTTGATTTATCTATTTGACGTTTACACATTTTCCGACACAATACATATGGTGGGTGTACATTAATTACTATAAACGATTGCATTTGCAAAGTTAAATGTAACATTATTTTGCTATGGATTGCCTTTTTCATCGTCTTTCATTTTTATTTTTAAGTTATTTTGAAGTGGTATTTAAATAATTGCGTAATTTCTGTGTTTCTAAATCAATGTAATCCCTGATCATCGTGCACGTGAAGCAGCTGTGTGTGTGTGTGTGTGTGTGTGTGTGTGTGTGTGTGTGTGTGTGT